CTGGTAGTGGTGAGAGGATGGGGCGGGAGGGGGTGGGAAGCCAGGCCAGGCTTGCTTGCAGGCACGGGCAGGGCTGGGCCCAGTCACAGTGCCCACCTGGAGCAGGAAGCTCCTCCTGTCCCCTCACCCAGAGGCTCACCCATAGGTGGCTCGGGGTGTGTTATGTCACACGGCAAAGTCAGGCGATCACCTAGCCCCCTTGGCCACTTGTCAGCACAAGGGGTGGGCGCCACCGGGAAATGGAAACACCCAATTGCACCACTTAAGGTCTGAGGGTATAAAATTTGATGATGGGAGGTGTAGGACAAAGGGGAACTGGAGAAGGAAGAGGCGAGGACTGGCTAGTCAAGCCCTCCGGGCGGAGGCCCTCCAGGGCGGCGGAGGCCTTCCCCTGGCATCGCAAGGACCCATCCTGTCCTGAGTGGGGCTCTCACCTCAGGACCCTGAGCGACGATACACCTGGGATTGGGGCTCAGCCCAGGGACGGGGCCTGGCGGGGTGGTGGGGACCAGGGCTCAGCTCAGCTACCTCAGCTCACCCCAGGATCACCTTCCCTGCCCCCACGAACCTCATGGGACTGGGCCTGGATCACGAGGCACCTGCAGTGCAGTGAAAGTCCCTGGCAGCCACCCGGACCTGGCCCACAGGCCACCAGGACGGAACAGCCCTGACGTTGTCAGTGTCGGGGTCCCCTGGGGGCCACACCACCCCCCCCCCAGCCCTCCAGCAAGGCCCAACAAGGAGGAGCCGGGGCTGAAGGGCCCAGCGTTGTCCCTCTCAGCAGCAGGAGACCCAGATGTGCCCCTCAGGGCCCGCCCCATGTCGCTGCCATCATAGACTCATGACCAGGGACATCCCAGCGTGGGAATGAGTGGCACGTGGACACGCTCTGGCCCCTCCACCGATGCCCAGCAGGCACCGCCGGGCACCCAGGCCATCAGCCAGCTGCAGGCAGTGCCAAGTGCTCTCCCAGGCACATCTTTTGGGACAAGAAAGTGGACGACCCCGCTCTGTGCCCACAGCGAGATCAGCAGAGGCCAGAGCCACCTTCTTCCAGAACATTCCTCTCAGCCCTTCCAAGAACGGGAGAGCGGGCAGGGTCAGGGACTGGGAGTGACTCACAGCAAAGAGCTTGATGAACAGGCAGAGCTGAGCTCGGCCACCACCCTGGAGCGAGGACCTGCTTGGTGACAGGAGGCACTTCCCTGGCTGTCCATGGCTGAGCTGCTGACCCGTGCAAGTGACCCAGCACAGCCACCAGGGAGCGGCCACCTCGGGCCTTGTGCCCCATTCCCCCCACAGGCGAGCGCTGCCCCGCACAGATGCCCAGCCAAAGACCGAACTTTCTACGCACTCAACCCCCGTTTGTTGATTGACTGAATGAGAGATCCAGAGAAGAGGAGCATGGGCAGATTCTGCCCGCCAGCCCCCTGCTCTAGCACTGCCCCCTCGGTGGTGACGTGTTGGCCATCACCTGGGGTGTGCCCAACGCTGCACGGCCTCACCCCTGCTGGCTCCAGTTTCCCGCAAGGCGACCCAGACAAGACGGCCCAGGTCAGCTGGTTGAGAGAGGCAGGCACACAGTACCACATAGACGCCAGCCTTGGCTATTTGTCCACTTCCTTCTTCCTCCTCTTTTGTCAACCGTCCTTGCCATCAACCGCTGTGGAAAATCCACCTGCTCCTGTGTCCACAGATTCTCCAGGGGACAGTCCGGCCGCCCGCCAGCACCAACAGGTAAGGCCTCCGAGGCACAGGCATCACGCCTCTTCTTAGCTTGCCTTTCCACCCTCCTCTACCCTCCCCATCCCCGGCCCCATGGCCGGCCCAGCGCCGTCGGGGCTCAGGCACCCAGGGCAGGTGGCTTCGCAGGTGCCAGGGGGTCCCAGGTGGGGTATAGAATGGAAGGTTCTGGTGGCTGCACCTCTTGCCCCCGGGCCGGATGAAACCCCCATTCCCTCTGCCCCCCATGGTTACTTCTCTAAGAGTTTCAGATGGTGGAGGGTGTTTCATTGTATCTGTCCCCTGAAGGCTCTCGGAGCAATGGCATTTTTGCTGAGACCAAAAAAGAGAAAGAGAAAGCTGTGGGGTTCACCGTGGCCTCCACACTTTGCCCCATGATAAATTTCAGTGATAAGGTCTCATTATGTCCTGGAAGGTACAACGAACGGTAAGCCTGGACTCTCACTTGAACACTACCATATGGCCATTAATAATATTTGGAGACGTTGGCCCCAGGCAACCAAGCAGGGCAAGAAGTGAGTGGGCACTGCCCCCACGGACCGCCTCCCTGCTCGCCCAATGCAGGGCTCCCTGGGGAAGCGGCGCCATGGACATCTGGTTGGGCGCGTGGCTGTCCCATCCCAGAAAGTCACCCAGCAGGTGTAGCAAACAGCAGACCAGCCCCGAGTCGGCTGCTCAAGGAATGCCAGGTCCACCGTCCCAGGGCGCCCAGCTTCCGCCCGCCATGGCTGCCAGATCTTCACATGCCATTCTTGAAGGGCAAGGAGGACTCCAACCTTAGGTGACATTATTTTTTTTTAAGATTTATTTTTATTGGAAAGGCAGATATGCAGAGAGGAGGAGAGACAGAGAGGAGTATCTTCTGTCCATTGATTCACTCCCCACCAAATGGCCGCAACGGCTGGAGCTGAGCTGATCAGCAGCCAAGAGCCAGGAGCCTCTTCCGGGTCTCTCACGCGGGTGCAGGGTCCCAAGGCTTTGGGCCGTCCTCCACTGCTTTCCCAGGCCACAGGCAGGGAGCTGGATGGGAAGTGGGGCTGCCAGGATTAGAACCAGCACTCATATGGGAGCCCAGGCATGCAAGGCGAGGACTTTAGCTGCTAGGCTACTGCGCTGGGCCTGGTGACATTTTTTAAACAGCTGGAGCTGGGGCAGGCCAAAACCAGGAACGTAGAACCGCATTTGGGTCTGCCACGCGGGGCAGGGGCCCTCAGGCATCCTCTGCTCTTTTCCGAGGTGCATTATCAGGGGGCCGGAGGGGAAGCAGAGCCGCTGGGATTCAAACCCAGGTACTCTGTTACAGGATTTCGACCTCGCAAACAGCGGTTTAACCCACTGCACCCCAATGCCAGACTAAGTTTAGGTTTTGAAAGAAACGATACTGTTTTTTTTTTTTTTAATCACTTAGGAATTTTTTTTTTATGGGTTGGTTTAGCAGTGGAGATGTTGTTTAAAACCCTCACATCCGCGTCCAAAGTGCCAAGTTCCCCATTCCCAGGAAGGTGACGAGAGGCTTCTGGCTCCTGGCATGCATGGGGTCGGGGGAGACAGGCAGCAAAGGCAAGCCACCTCAGGCTCTCCCACTCTTCCCGTACACAAACCCCGTCGCCTACAGCCTGGAAAAAATCAATACAAAAGACAATGGCACGTTTAATCTCATTGGAATATTTTATTTCTATCCTGGATGTTTAGAGGGGTTAGTTCAGTGTGCAGTCAACAGCGAAAAGCTCCCGGCGAGGCTCCTGCTCGGCAGGCTGGGGGCAGGCGCCAGCGTCCGGCTGCGGGTTCCCCCCAAAACAGCGGAGTCGTGTCTAATGGAAAGGAACCCATTGTTTTTCCATTTTTAAAAGTATGTACTTACTTATTTTATAGGAGACAGAGGGCAGTCAGAGGGAGGTACCTCCCGCCCTCTGTGCGATCTCCAGATGCCCCCAGGGGGGACATGAACTCAGTGCCAGCCTGGCACACGGGTGTAGACGCCAAAGACCCCAGCACCTGCCTCCCAGGGTGCGCATGCGCAGGGAGCTGGCATCGGATGTGGTATGGACACAGCCGGCATAATCCTTTGGCCAAACACCTGCCCCAGACCTACCGAGGGAAGGTGTCACCACAGCTCAGTCACCGTAAACTTGGCCCGTGTTTCGGGACATGTGTCTGGTAAGGGCTCAGAAGCCCGCGGGCGCTGCTGACAAACACACCGACCTGGGGACAGGTGTTTGCTGGTGACAACGGGGAGGATCGCAGGGCCAGAGTGAGAGCCCCGACCCCACCTCCAACCCCAGCTCCCTGCTCCTGTGTACCCGGGAAGATGAGCGGGAGCCTGCTGTTGTACCTGCTGGGGACAACACGGGGGGAGACATTCCTGGAAACTGAGGAGTGAACTTACTAGCAGGTGGATTCTCTCACTAAGAGGGGCGGGGGTGGTTGGGGTCTGGGTCCGTCGCCTCAGTTTCTCCTTCTGGCAGGCTGGAGGAGCACAGCGGGGCAGCCCTGGGCCGGGGAGCTGAGCCCGGGAAGGGAACTGAGGCCAGCCGTGGGGTTGGCAGGAGCTGGACGCACAGGGACACTGGCCCGGCCAGGGCTCGGGGCACGCCGCCCCCTAGTGGCCGGGGTCTGCAGTGCCCCTTGCACCAGGTGCTATCTGAGAGACCCTCCCAGCTGCCCACCCCAACTGGCACGTGTCTGCCGTACTCCTCTAGGACATGCCCTAGCATCTTCTGGAAGCTTCTGTTTGTCCCATTCCCCAGCTGGCTCCGGCCTTTGTATGGCCTTGCAACGCGGATTGGGGAGGGTCCAATCTCCCTCCTCCAGCCTTGGTCCCCCTGCGAGGGGGGAGGTGGCAGGGCATGCCTTGGTGCTGCCACGGGGCCAGGGGGAGCCAGTCCTCACTCGCCAAGTCACTGAGTCCCAGCTGGCAGGCCTAAGCCTCCTGCGCTGTCCAGGCACTCACCCATATTCTCTCTCTCCTTCTCCTGCCCACCCCCAGCATCTCTGGCCACAGCGCCCACTCCTACACTGTGGAAACTCCTGGGCAGGCGTGTCCCTCACAGGCCATCTCCTCTTGGCTCCCGCTCATCTTCCCGGGCCGCACCCCCCTCTAGGGTCTCCCCCCGGGTACAGAGGTCGTGTTGTCCAGGAGCCAGGGAGCCTTCAGCCTCTGCCGTCGCTACTGCTGGACGGCCAGTCGCTCGACCTTGGGACGAGGCATCCTGCAGGTGGCTTCCCTCGTGTGTGTCCAGCCGGGGCCGCTCTGACCCATGGAGCTGCTCGGCGGGCCTCAGCGTCTCCGGTACCTCCTGGGGCTGCTGCTGCTGCAGCTGTTGCTGGCTGTGTGTTTATTCTCCTACTTGCGCGTGGCCAATGAGAGCCCCAGCAGGTTCCCGCCACCAGCTCCAGGCACCATCTCCCCCAATGCCTCCAGCCGCCGGCCCCTGGTGATCCTGCTGTGGACCTGGCCTTTCAACCACCCTGTGAAACTGATCCGCTGCTCGGACCTGCGGCCCAGCGCAGATGACTGCAAATTCACCGCCAACCGCAGCGAGTACCAGCGGGCGGACGCCGTCATCGTGCACCACCGGGATGTTAGCGCGCAGCCCCGAAAGCAGCTTCCGCAGTCCCCGCGGCCAGCCGGGCAGCGCTGGGTCTGGTTCAGCCTCGAGTCCCCCAGCCACTGCAGGAACATGCAGGCCCTGGACGGCTACTTTAACTTGACCATGTCCTACCGTAGCGACTCGGACATCTTCACACCCTACGGCTGGCTCGAACCCTGGCCGGACGCCCCTGCCGTCGTGGAGCAGGTCAACCTGTCAGCCAAGACGGAGCTGGTGGCCTGGGCGGTGTCCAACTGGCGGCCGAAGTCGGCCAGGGTGAAATACTACCAGGAACTTCGCGACCACCTCTCCGTGCACGTGTTTGGCATTGGCCACCAGTCATTGCCCCGGGCCTCCATGATGGAGACCCTGAGCCGTTACAAGTTCTATCTGGCCTTTGAGAATTCCCAGCATCCTGACTACATCACCGAGAAAGTGTGGAACAATGCACTGCTGGCCGGGGCCGTGCCCGTGGTGCTGGGCCCCAGCCGGAGCAACTACGAGCGCTTCCTGCCAGCCGACGCCTTCATTCACGTCGATGACTTCGCCAGCCCCAAGGAGCTGGCCCAGCACCTGCAGGCCCTGGACCGGGACCCTGCCCGCTACCTGAGCTACTTCCGTTGGCGGGAGACGATGAGGCCCGGCATAGGGAGCTGGGCCCTGGACTTCTGCAAGGCCTGCTGGCACCTGCAGCAAGAAAGCAGATACCAGGTGGTGCCCAGTATTGCTGCCTGGTTCACTTGAGGGACCCTGGGGTTTGGGGACTTGGGAACGGGCTGCCCCACGGCGGGCTAGGCGTGTGAGGGGGTTGTCTGATTTGCATGGGACTCTGCCCCTGAGTCCAGCCTGGCCAGCAGCCTCTGCTGGGAAATAGCAGAAGGTCAACTGACCGCAATCCAATTCTTAGCACCTCAGGGTGCTTCTGGCACACAGGGCTTGTCACAGATGAGTGGCGACGAGGGTTGGAGTGGGAGAGGCAGGGAAGCCCTCCCACGCACACACGCACAAGTCAGTGTCCGGTGGTAATGAAGACCTCAGACCTCCAAGATCAAGTCCATCATGTCTGCAGCGCTGTGGGTGTGGCCTATTTGGAGAGGAAACCAGCGGGGTCTCCCCCACCTGTGTGTGTGTGTGTGTGTGTGTGTGTGTGTGTGTGTGTGCATGCACTCAGGGTATAGGGGGGGAGCCCAGGACATGCATGGCTTGTGACAGCCAGGCCACAGCTGGGACCCCGCACCACTCGGAACCCCTCTAGGGTGCAGCTGCAACCCTTGCATAGAATGAGGGGCAGTTGTATCTATGTCAGGCAGCTGGTGGGCTGGCTGGCGCCCTCAGGTTGGGAGGCCCTAGCGGGACAGGTAGGGCAGCTCAGGGGGCCACAAAGCCCAGCACCCCATTCCCAGCTGCGTGTCCCGGGCTGGGCTGCTTCCCTCGCCTAGAACAAGGTAACTGGGGCCGCACACACAGCAGCACGTTGGGCCTCTGCAGCGCCTGCCGCGGGCGGGGGGCTGAGTCAGCTTCCTGGACTAGGAATCCACACACACACACACACACAAACCTCCCTTTAGGGGTGGCAGGGGCCCCAGCCAGGCATGGCCACACTGACCACCCACTCACGGGGGGCTGCAGCCTGGCCGCCAGGGACTGCTCCTGGACCTCCACCCCAACCCACCCCCTGAAAGTCTTGCTGCCTTGCAATGTGTCCGGCTGCAGCCCGGGACGGGGAGTGGAGGGCCAGTGGTCCACCAGCCCAAGCTTGGGGGGCTTGAGAGAAGACCCTGCCCTGCGGACACCCCTTTGAGGAGTGGGATGGTACACTGGACGTGAGGGGTGCAGCCCTCCTCCCATCCCCAGGCCCGGGCACCTGCCGGGCCTTTCCCCCCCAACGCCACCCCCCGTGCAGCCTGGGGCCTGCCCAGCATCAAGGTGACACGGCGGGCAAATCTAAACATTGCACGGCAGAGCTTGCCCGGGGCCTCGTCATAAATTCCCCCCGGCAGGCTGCGGCCAAGGGCTTTTATGGACCCAGGTCCCCGGGGACTCCTCTCTGCACCCCCCTGGGCAGGCGCCGGCTGCGGAGCTGTCCCCGCCGGGGCCTGGGCGGGCGCAGAGGGGAAGGGGGTATTTTTAGACTCGAAAAGGAGAACACATGGCTTGGTTTTCACCATGCTGGGGGGAGGCAGACCGTGTGTTTGAGGGGACACCCCCTTTCCAGCGGCTCCGGGGTGGGGGGCCACGCTGGCAGGGGGGACAGGACCCGGCCGACTGCAGCCCCTGCACCCCGTCCTGCTCCCGTGCATCCCCAGGGAGAGGGCCGCGTCTGCTCCTCGCTCCCCGTCGCCCCCGGGACCCCGAGGGACGAGGGGCGACAACGTGTGTCCCCGTCCCGACTCCAGGAGTGACTGACGCACGAAGCCCGCCTTCCCGCGCTTTTATTTCTCTCAAGGCAGTTATCGCGAGAGTTCCGCCCAGGGCTGTGGGTGAGTGGGAAGCAGAGGGAGGAGAAGGAGGAGGCCACGCACGCGCAGTCCGTCGTCGAGGGGTCGGGGCGGAAGTTGGTGCCGCCGCCGCCGCCGCCGTCGCCGTCGTCGGAGGCCCCCGCCACGTGAGGTAGGGTCACACGCAGGCGCATTCGCGCGCCGACAGCTGGCGCACCGTGTGGTAGCGGCTGTGCACGTCCAAGAAGGACACTTCGTCCTCGTAGGCCGTCGGGCGGCAGCAGGGCTGCGCGCGCACCCGCTCGCGCCGCACGCGCCGCCGTTGGCGCAGGCGCCGCAGGCCCAGGTCGTAGACGCGCGTGGCGGCCTCGCAGGCGCCTGCGCAGTAGCGGAACAGCACCGTCTCGTCCGACGCGTAGCCCAGGCCCAGCTCGCTCACGCGCACCTCGAGCTCGCGCAGGCCGCACGGCCGGGCACGCGCACGTGCGCGCCGCCGCCGAGGCCCCGTCCGACGGCGAGGACCCGGAGCGCGGCCGGCCCAGGGGGTCAGCTCCACGGCGTCCGGCGCGCCCTGCAGCAGGGCCCGGTCTGCAGGAGAGAGAGTCGGTCAGAACGGTGAGGGGACTCAGCGGGGCAGCCAGGCCCGTCGGTGCACGCCCCGGGCCCCTCCATGTGCGCCCAGGTCCCTCTCCATGGCACCATGCCAATTGGTGCGCGCCCCAGGCCCCTCCATGTGCGCCCAGGCCCCTCCATGTGCGCCCAGGTCCCTCTCCATGGCACCATGCCCATTGGTGCGTGCCCCAGGCCCCTCCATGTGCGCCCAGGCCCCTCCATGTGCGCCCAGGTCCCTCTCCATGGCACCATGCCCATTGGCGCGCCCCAGGCCCCTCCATGTGCGCCCAGGCCCCTCCATGTGCGCCCAGGTCCCTCTCCATGGCACCATGCCCATTGGTGCGCGCCCCAGGCCCCTCCATGTGCGCCCAGGCCCCTCCATGTGCACCCAGGCCCCTCCATGTGCGCCCAGGCCCCTCCATGTGCGCCCAGGCCCCTCCATGTGCGCCCAGGCCCCTCTGCACGGCACCAAACCTGCCATGTCCACCAGGCCAGTCGGTGCGCCTCAGGCCCCTCTCCATGGCACCAAGCTCACCAAGCCCGCCATGCCCGTTGGTGTGCGCCCCCAAGCCCCTCACCGTGGAACCAAGCTCACCATGACCGTCGGTGCACGCCCCAGGCCCTTCCATGTGCACCCCAGACCTCTCACCGTGGAACCAAGTTCCTCCGTGCACACCCCAGGACCCTCTCTGTGACAGCCAAGCTCACCAAGGCCATCGGTGCGCACCCCAAGCAGGTGAGCTCGTAAGCCAGACACCCGCAGGCTGAGGGGAGACCCCGAGTTCTCAGTGTCTCCCACACATCCCCCCACTGTTCCCCATGGCAGAGTGGACCATGGGGTGTCACGATTGTCTCCTGTCGGCATGAAGGGTGACGTACAAGGTCGGGGGCCCAGGGAACATTGGCGGGGGACCCTGGCCATCACTCAGGTGTAATGTTTTTTCATTGTAGCTCCTATGCCATGGAGGACTGCCCCCCCTGCCAGAACCCCTCTCCTCTGGCCAGCCCATCCGCCTTGGGATGCCCCCCCACTCGACCACAGCCTGCCTTCCCACTCCAGCCCAGGCACAGCTGGCTGGCTGGGGTGGTGAGGTCTCATGGAGGTATCCCTCCAGGCTACACACACACACACACACATACACACACACACTCCTCTCCTGGCAGGTCTGCCCCTGCCTCCTGGGGCTACCCCTCCTCCACGCTGTCATAGGAAGCGTTTGGGGTGGGGGTGAGGGGAAGGAAGTGGAGCTGGCGCCCGGAGGCACCCTTGTCCACTGTGAGGACAAGAAAAGGGAATTGTGTGTGAGCCGGCGGGGCAGGCCTGGACGTGCGTGGGCATCCCGCGTGTGCGCGTGCGGTTTCACCCCCTCCCTGCCTCACCCTGCAAGACCTCCACCAGGCTGGATGGGAGCCGGGCCAGGGCTGCACCTCCTCAGGGAGGGGGCATTTCCACAAACGGGCCTCTCTCCCCCTCAATCGCTCATGGGCCCCTGGGGGGCCTTTCCGTCCACCACCTCCGCTGTGCTGTGGGGGTACCCGGGCCCGGTGCCCAGGGCCTAATCTCCATCCATTCAGTCCCTTGGGGACTGGAGCCTAATTCCTCGTGACAACCGTGCCTGGGGGAAACCCCAATTCCCACAGCCACCCCCTACCTCAACCCCCAAGGCTGTACCTTCTCTCCACCCCCATTCCGTTCCAAAAATGCCCTCTGAAGGGACAGGGGAGGGAGGGGCGTCGAGCTTACACTGAGCCAGGCGGGCAATGCGGGCGTCCAGGGTGCGAGGCGGGCGGCGCAGCGGGGCCAGCGCAGGCGTGAGGCCGTCCCGGCACATCCACATCGTTAGCATCGAGCTGCAGAACACCCAGGCCACGGCTGCCGCCTTCCAGCGCTGCATGCTGGGCCTGTGGGCACGGCAGGGCATCAGCGAGTGCCCACCCTCCTTCCCCTCCATCACCCCAGCCCTGACCAGCTGCTGGGAGCTCAAGAAGCACGTGGGGGATATGGGTACCCCCTGGTATGTCAGGGCCACGGGCAGCCACCTCACCTAGGGGACCAGAGGAACCGAGGACACAGGGTACTGCCAGCGCTAAAGCAGGAGGCTGGGGCAGGACGGCGGCAGGGAAGGCTGCTGCCCAGGGGCCAGAGGGAAGAGGGACAGCAGCGGCTGGGGCCATTCCCAGCAGGTGGCACTGTGGGACCAGGGTCGGTCGGGAAGCCCCGGGGCTGCACCCACGGGTGTCCCTGAGTGACTTCCCGCCCGTCTGCGCTCACGTCCTCGGATACACTGATGCCCCACCCGCGGGCCCTGCCCACCTCCCACACCCCCAGGCCAACGGCGGTTCCCACCCCACCCACTCCCCACCCAGGCCATGAGGATCTCTGGGGCCAGGCGCGCATGGCGCACACAGTGGGTGTTCAGCCCAGCCGAGTGGGGGGGCCGCCGCCCCAGCCCGTTTACATTCCCCGCCCGGCCGCCTGGTGTGGTGTCGGCCCTCGGAGCCTGGCGGCCGGCCCGGTGTAAACATTTACACGCGGAGCTGGGAAGCCTGGGCGCGCGAGCGCGCGCTGTGCCGCCCGGTCTGGGCCCTGCGGGGTCGCCAGGCACCCCCATGCGCGCACCTCGGGCGCGGAGCGCGCAGCTTGCAAGGCAGCCACAGCCAAACGGCTGCGTTCTTCTTTGCGCACCACCTGCCTGCGGATGCCGGGAGCTGGAGCTGCCTGTCTCTCCACGCATGGCCCGCGGGCTGCAGAAACAACACCCCAGACAGCCACAGGAGGCATTTATTAAACGCCTCTGGTTACCAGGCCAGTCCCAGCCCGCAAGCTGGACACTCGTTTGGATAAAGTTAGGGGAGATTGAGAACGTGAGCAAGGACTTGCTCAGGGGCCCCCGAAGCCATAGGAGGACGCTGGGAAGGGGGAGCTAGAATTCTTTTAAATATATATATATTTTTTGTATTTGGTTTATTTATCTGCAAGGTGGAGAGCTCGCCCATCTGTGGCCTGGAGCTCCATCCGGGCCTGGCATGAGTGACTGGGCCTGGAATCCTGGACACTCCAACATGGGGTGCAGGGGTCTTCTGGCCGTTGTGCTAAAAAAAACACACTCCCTACCCTCACCCCTGCACGGACGGCCCTCAGTGCTGTGGGCGTCCACCGGGAGGGAGGAGGGGGTGTGCAGGAGCAAAGTTCCAGCCAGCCCAGGGGCACAGGGGCATCTGGTAAGAACCAAGCCAGTTCACCAGAGCTTAGGAGGTTTGCAGCGCATGCGTGCACAGTGAAGGCAAAAACAGCATTGGGGGTGGGGCGGACGGGGCTGGAGCAGGACAGCGTCAAATGGACAGCAGAGCAGCAGGGAGACCCCTGGGGCTGAAGCAGGGAGGGATGGGAGGAGGGGTGGGCAGGAGCTTCAAGGCCTGTGCAGTCAGCTTTGCCCCCCCCAACAAGGAGGCTCCGCCCCCACAACCCCCCAGTCCACAGACCCAGCTCCGAAGGAACCCAGGCAAGCTCGCAGGGGTCCCCAGGAGCAGGACACACCCACAGCCCCATCTTATGGATGGAAAGACTGAGGCCCAGAACCAGGAGCCAGACCTCCCTAGCTCAGCACCTGACTTGTGCAGAGGGGCGTGCCTCAGTTTCCCCGTGAAGACAGAGGCAGCCGCAGGTACTGGCTGGCCATCTCTGCAGGGGGCTGAGTGAGAGTCCCCCAGCAGCCTTTGACACCGCAGGTGGACCCACCTCCCCAGCGCCAGTGGGGGTGGCAGGGAAGCAGGGGAGGGGGGTGTGGGTCCCCTCTCGGCAGGTGCCATTGATAAGACAGCGCTAACAATGAGCTTTCTGTATGGGGGCCACCCGACTGGTTTGTCTCTGCACAAACCACCTGACCGGGACCGACCGGGAGGGGCGACGTGGGTGTGGCAGAGGGCCTGTATGGTCACGTGTGCAGGGGGCACTCTCATGCCATCTGATTCACGACTCGGGCACTGCCACACACATGTCGACCCAACAAGACCCCCCTCACGCCCCTGGCCCACTGCCTTGCCCACACACTGGGGCACTTGCAGGCAGAAGGTGCAGCCTGCGGACGCTCGGCCCGGTGGGGGGGCAGCTCAGGGACCCCCCTAGCCCCCCACCTGCTGCCTCCAGCCACAGGCGCACACACACAGGTACATGGCTGCCCCAGCCCCACAGGTGGGGCCGCTGGCGGCAGGAAGCTGAATAGGCCCAGCCCGCCCAGGGTGAGGTGACCTGAATGGAGAGGTGGCACGGTGACAAAGAGGATGCTGCCTGGCCCAGGACCGCTCCTGCTGGCGGCTCGGGTGCCACCCACACTTCTCGGACACAGCCTGGTTCTGCCTTCCAGGAGTTAAGACAACTCTTACACATGCTGTGACGCCCCATCTCTTAAGCCCCTCCACGAGTGACCCCTCCAGGGACAGCAGGGGCTCGGCTAGTGGGCGGGGGGCTCCCCCTCTTCACCTCTGCAACTCAGGGTTCCATCGCTGTGGGGCAGTAGGGGTGGCGTTGGTGTGAGAGGTATTGTCAGTGAAGACCTGGGGACGGGGAGGGGCTGCACCTCTCTCTGTCGGCCTATTTCCCAGTCTGTGCAACACCACAGGGCACCCCCGCTTCCCGCAGGTTCCGGGTTCCCCACGTTGCCTCGATGGGAAGGGGGTGGCTCCTACCAATGGGGAAACTGAGGCCCCACAAGGGTGGGAGTTGTCCCCCACCAGAGGCCGGACTCAGTGTCCCCGTGGAACAAGCAGCCAAAGTCCACAGCCCACAGGAAGGCCACACTCCCTTCCCCCACCCCACCAGGACCCTGGGGCCAGCCCCTCCCACGGAGGGGTGGGGTAGGGCGGCTTGGGCGGCGCGACACACATCTGGGGCAAAACCAGGAACATGTGGCAGCCACAGCTGTTCCCAGGCTGGGGCTGGGGGCCGGCCTGGGGGTCGCTCTGTGCGGGCCAGGGCTGCGGAACAAAGCTCAGTACTGCCCGCCCGCTAGACCTGTTGCTGGCTGCGGCGGGGTGGGGTGGGGGGGCCTGGGACAGCGCTGCTCGCCGAAGGGGGCACGGACGGGAGGCCCATGGTACACGGCCAGCCGAGCCACCACCGTGTCGTGTGGAGGACATTCCGGGGCTGGGGCAGACACGCAGGCAAAAAGGAAAGGCTCCCGGGCACCCCCAGAGAGCCACTGCCAGTACCACCTTCTTCCACATTCGCATCTGTTTAAAAATGATTTGGCTTAATTATTTAAAAAGCAGCCTGGCCGTTGGCTCCCTCCCCAAACACCTGCCTGAGCCAGGGCCCGGCCAGGCGACCTCCAGGAGCCCAGAGCTCCATCCGGCTCTCCCAGGCACTCGAGCCTTCGCCTGCTGCTCCCCAGGGTGCGTGTTAGCGGGTTAGCTAAGGTGGAGGCATGGAGGAGCCGGGATTCGAACCGGGCACTCCGCCCCACGTGCCACTCCCTTAGTCCTGTCCCTTCCAGCCATCCCGGCTGTGCGAGGTGATTTCCTGGCATCGTCCCCTCCCAGTGTCCCTGTGGAAGGTGCCGCCTCATCGCTTCTGTCTCCCATGCAAGAAAACAGGCTCAGAGACCTCGAGAGTCTTGCCAGAGGGCACACAGCAAGCGGGTGGGGGGGGTGCTGAGCTACTGGGGGAGGGGTCTGACTCTACATCCACTCCCTGGGAGCCCCTGGAGGGAGGGAGAGAGAGAAACAGCAGGTGACACCCGGCCGGACGCCCCAGTGCCAGTTGGGGTTCTGCTCCCAGCATGTACCTGCTGAGTACCGAGGGGGAGAGGGGGTCGGCAGGGAACTCAGGGGCCAGTGACCTCTTGGCGGTGGAGTGGGGAGCGGGGAGGCAGGTATTAAGGGGATGAAACAAACAGGACCATTCCACTGTTGGCAGTGCAAGCAGCGTGAAGGCGAGGTGGAAGCCGCGGTGATCGCTGGCAGGCCAGAGGGCTCCGCCGAGGAGGACAAGCAGGAAGACATGGGGCAGGTGAGATCTGGAGAATTTGGGGCAGGGGTGGGGCTAAGGCGCCTGGAGACCAGCAAGTCTGTGGAGCACGCGTGTGCCGGCATGTGTGTGTGTGTTCCTGTGTACAGGTTCACGTGCGTGCCCCTGGGTGGCCGGTCTCGGACCCGCTGCCACGGTGGCCGTCCTCGTTGCACAAAACCCTCAGTCGCACCAGGCGAGTCTGGCTGGCCGAGCTGGCCCCGGGGCTGGCCACGCAGGTGTCTGGGGCGGGGGGTGGGGTAGGGGGGGAGATGACAGGATCAACCTAATGAGGCCTGGCACGGCTGAGCCGCTGGCACAGGGCCCGGATGGCAGGCGGCTCGAGAAAGACGAGCAGAGCTTCTCCGACGGCAGCCGGGAGGGCACCGCAGGAAGCCGGCCAGGAGGAGCGGGCTGGGGCAGCGCACACAGCCCAGAGCCCGACCGCCCTCGTGCCCCCCTACCGTGGCTCCCCGAGTCACCCCTGCTGGTCCCGTGGAGTCAGGTCCCCTGGCATGTTATGCAACGCAGGCCACGTGAGGCGTCCCCTGGGTGGGCCCCGGCCCTGCTGTGGCAGGCACCAGCTCCTGTCCGACCGCCCGCGTCTTTGCCACCCAGGGTCTGGCACACACAACTGGGTTCCAGAGGTCCTCGCTGGGCAGGATGCCCCCTGGCCTGCACCTGTTAGGGCTATGCTGAGGGAAGACCCCCTCAGCAACCAGGGACCCTCAGCAAGAACAGCCCAGCCACGGATACGTTCATGCTTCCAGCCCTGACCTCCTAGACACCCCATTGCTCATGTACCCCAGTCCAGGCTCCCCCTGCCAATCTTCTAGAACAGCCTGTCCCCACTCACCAGGGGCCGTTGATGGCTGCGGCACCCGCCAGCTG